TCCAGAGTCTGTTCTATCACCAGAGTACAATGCTAGTAAGTGTAGCTTGTGAAGATTTTTAGATCCTCTAGAGTGATGGAATAGGTGAAAACAGAATTGTTTACCGCTTACCCCATTAGGGTGAAATTGTACCTTTGCGAATGACAAATGTCGTTGCTTATCAATTCGTATAGATTATGTTTCTTGGCTAAGATATTCAAAATGGCAGCAAAAGTAAATGACAACGACATTCTTGTTATGCGGAGTGGCTAATTTAATACTTCCTAACCCAGCTATGCCCGTTTCTATCAATGTTGTCTCTCTCCTCTTTTGGCTAACTGAAGAGCATTTTGTTACTCGCATCAGGTCGGCCCAAACGCAATCGAACACCAGATAACGTTTCTACAGATACAGACACCATCAGTACTTTGCCTTGTGGCTGTAAGAATGTCTATAATCCAATGTGCGGTAGTGATGCCAAGACTTACCCCAATCCTTGTGTGGCACGGTGAGAAGATAAATAATTTTTCAGAAAGTCCTGGATTAATAGTATTTTATTGCTGCCGTAGAAAATAACGCTGGCGAAAATGAGTCATCACAAGATGAAAACTAGCCTGACGCTAAAATGTGGCAATCAGCGGCAAGCGCGGGAAAAGATGTCGCCTGTGGCAAAAAAAGCGCGCGAAAAAATCAACAGGAATGTGAAGTGTTAAAAGGGCAGGAAAAGATATGTTTCAATAATTCAGACGTTGTGACAAGCGTTATTATTATTGTATTTCTATAGATTTCCATCATATATGTCGGGTCCGAGTATTTTATATAAAGGGCTTATCTTTTGTTTTGTTAACAGGTGTCTTGGGTTGCCTCCCACTCGGCTAACGAAAGGCAACTGTGCTTCCATTGATCCTTGCGAACCGAGCCCCTGCGCTGCTGATGAAAAGTGAGTGGTTTTTATCATCAGCTGATGACGTTATGTTTTCTTTTGACCACTGATGAGATACTGTTTGCATTTCATGTTGATCATACCGTAAACGCCCTCTAAATGCTTCTCTCCGGCTCTAACACCTCCCTCTTTATTAAGCTTCTTTATTTAATGAACCTCCCTGTCCGACAAGTCCCCTTCTCCCATAACCCCTCCCCCCCCATGTCGAATATATCCCCGTTTCTGATAAGCTCCCCTCTTTCTTAAAAGAACCCTCTCTAACAAGTCCCCTTCTCGAAAAAGCACCTATCGGGGAACTCGTGATGCATGTGAGGGTGTTTAAAATGAATACGAAATGTGGAAGATTTCGCTTTATAGTAAGCACAGGACGAAATTGCAAGAATCCGTAAACGGAAACGTGGCAGAAACATGTTAAACCGTTCCGGAAACACGACGGATAACCTGTGTTTCCGTATATGTATTCATTTTGAGCTTGTAGACGTTTTCTAAAGCGTTTAAATAAATAAATAAATAAATAGCTGCGTCGATAAATCGGATACCGGACCACTTTTACGTAAACATAACAAGGAAAAAGCATGGAGTTGCATGTGATGCCACGTTTCCGTTTAAAATGAATATGAAATGTGGAAGATTTCGCCTGTGAAGGGTGTGCGGATATATTATGTTGTTCTCCTTGCGTTACTTTTGCGCGCCTCATTTCTTTTGTTATCGCTTTTCTTTGACGTTTGGGATATAGCGAGTAAAGGTTGTTTTATTTGTGATCCAAAGATTAATGCCTTCTTGTTGTTATCAACTTTGCAGGTGCATTGTGGAAAGAAAGACTTGTTTGTCCGTCACTGATCTGTGTGTTCAATATTACTGCGGTGAGGGTCCATTCATAATTTTTTAACTATTGGAAGGGGAACCTCTTTTTTCCTATCTATTCTAGTCCTAGAAAATGTAAAATATCGCTTGAATATTTGCCCCACATGTTACACTCTGAACATAAATTCTGGCGAATCTGAACCATCGTCTTTAACATACCGATTCCATTCCCTTTCCATTCCACTGAAATGTTAGTACACATGTATATTGAGTAGCGAGGATAAACACACTTGCCTTTTTTTTTGCAAGAAAAACGGAAGAGATTCATCGACATTTGCTCCGAGATTATGACACTTTTTTTTCCCTCTCAACTTAAGTGAAAACTTGATTTAACTTGGGTTTTGTAAGAATAAAATTTATTTCTGTCTATAGTATCAGAGGGAAAATACTGTAGCGATCTCCAGTTGGATCCAGTCTGCGACTCGGAAAACAATCAGCACCCAAACCTCTGCTCGTTGCAGTTCAACCGCAAGACGCTGGCGTACAGAGGGTTCTGCAAGGTATGATGCTCAGTGCGGTACTGAGGCTTTTTAATTCATATGAACTAAGCATTGCAATTGACCCATTAATTGGCAATTTTTTAGCTGGTCTCCTTTATTTTTTTCATGCTGAGTCCAATAATGCAAAGAAAACACCATCCCGATTTACTTTGACTACTGCGGTAGATTATGGGCTTTTTCGTCAAACGATTTACGTCGAATTATAGCATTTAACATGATATTTATTCGATTGTGTTCTTTTGCTCGTGCAGGATGAATGCAAACCTCCCTCCCCTGCCGTGTGCGGTGTTAACGGGGAGACGTACTCCAGCACATGCGCAGCGCGCTCAGCAAGAGTGATAGTTGATTATCAAGGACGGTGTAAAGCTGTAGGGACTGGACTTAATCATGACGACAAATCACGTTGTGAGAGTGTCACGTGTCCTGAAATAAAACCACTTAACTGCAAAGGGATCGTACCCCCAGGGGCCTGCTGCCCACACTGTGGTAAGTACAGTTGTACCAAACGGTTAAGTCACGTCTCAGCGAATTTTGTGCGTAATGATTTTGGAAACGAATGTCACATAATTCTTGCTCTCATCATGACGGATGTAGTTCGTCTCGTCTCGTTTTTTGGTTCGATTGGCAACCTTTTTGTAATTTTCCATTATTACACTGAAATTGTAATGTTTTGTCTTGCAGCCGCTGAAGTTCGAGTTTTATATAGTTTGAAACAGTTGGCATATAACCGAGAAGGATTTAGTAGATATGAGTCAGTTACACTGGAACAAGTATTTCAGATCCTTCGGCGGCACATATCTACGGTGAGCATAAAATTCACGACCCACCAGGCCCATAGGAACAAATTAGAAAGGGAAGGGGGACCAAAGGTTAAACATTTCGTGGTGTATTATATTTGACCAAACGTCATACGGGGGGGGGGGGGTGGGGGGCAACATCCTTTCCCGACATTTTGGAACACTTTTCGAGGTCCTAATTGCTACTTACAAGCAATACTGGAACCTTTTTGGAAGCTTAACGTGGAAGGTCAGAATGTGGGTTTACGTGCAGTGGCAGTAGTCACGAAAACCCTCCAAAGGATAACCATAAGCTGGGTGATCAGAGTACACGATCAAAAACTAATCGAAAGAAGAAGACTTGCGTATATCAGTAAGGGGGAAATTGACGTTAATGGTCGTGTTTTATTTCCTCTTCAGACTGAATGTGATTTGTTCGGATATCACAGCGTTGAAGGCGATTTAGTGGTTTTAGTGATGGCTGTTACGGCAAAGCCGACAAAACTTCAGGTAAGATTGGGAGAGTTTCATTCTGTTGAGTTCGCCGGTTACAAGGCATTCTTAAGATTAACATATCAATTCTCGCCATCGTGAGACTAACTTAATACTATAAGGAGAGGGACCTTTCTGTTTAACTGGGAGAGAAATTCCATATCTACGCGCCCCTTTATTATTCTCTATATATGAACTGACAGCACAGACCCAGTTTGATTTTGTTTACAAATGCGTAACATTAACTGGGCAACAAGGGTCACGCGCGCAGGGTAAAATACTTACACGATTCTTTTTTGCGTTTTTCTTAGGTGGAAGCCTGTAATCGCGAGGCGCAGAAGATTGAAGCTCTTATTGATACTGGAACACCGTCATTCACGTCCGACATGGTGCTTTCCGCTCTCAAAGCAGCGCGATCTCGAGTGCCCACGTTATCAAATAAGCCGGATAAACCGGTTTCCGACTCACACAAAAATAAAGTGAGTCGGTTAAACAGTGCTTTAACTGCAACTTTACTGCCAATCATAATGTTACCTGTCATGCTACGAACGGGTAGAAGTTAACAGTAGATATCCTACAGAGTATTTTTATGTAAATGCAATGAAATTTCGTCAGTACAAAGATAAATTATTGTATTTTTGAAGAATGAAAATGTTTTTGTAGACATGAAAATGGTTCGCAGTATCTTAGTGCACGCCTTGTAGTGGGATTTGCCATACCGCTAACACTTCCTTGCTTTGTTTACTCGGACCTCAAGTAAACAAGATGGAGAATATTGAAATTTAATGTAGCTCTTGTAAAGTATCGTATAGACCGTTGAATTTCTGAGCAAATTTGCTGCACAGGTATTTGAATTTTTCGTCTCTCTAAACAAGGCAAAAAGAGAGCACAAAAGGTTGTGTCTATGTTTTTTAACAGGAGAAAAAAAACTCGTACTTTTTGAAGCGCTTTTTCTCAGAGAAGCACGTTATTTTTCTCTGTGTTAAGGTCACAATATTTTGCGTTGAGTTTGATCTGACTTTTTGAAGGAAGTAAAAAAGCATATTCAGTCCAATTTCGAAGCCGATCGTATTATTTGAGTTTTGAAATAGTCCCTTCGGATCACTACGTGTAAAGTAATATATATATGTGTGTATGTAACTCGTTAAGGTTTGTACAATGTCTTCAAGAATTGTTCAGACTGAACTTTAAAAGCTCTGACCCTTGCTGTTGAGTTATTCATCATTAAATGAATCGTTTAACTCATTTATGCTTCAAAGAGACTGTGTTAAACAAATGTTTAAATGTAGCATTGATGTATGTCTTGTCACGCGAACCATATTGGTATATTGCGTGACAATCTAGTCAAACGTTTTGTTGCAGTTCAGTTTTTCTCTTTTCAAGCTTGTTCACTCCAAATGTCTAAATAATATAAAAAAGACTTAATATTTATTTTATTCGTAAGGAAAATACCATTAATATTACAAGTACCTTGGTTAAAAAAATACATCTTGTATATAATATTGTCACCCAAATATATCTGACAAATTCTGTAAATATAGAAATTAAGATTAAGTTTCTTAAAAAACACGGGTACAGGTATTAAAAAACACGTTTTATACAGCTTTAAGTTTTCTTGTTGGTAGCATAATTTCAGTTCTTTCTTGGGTACTTTCGTCTGGCAAAAAAAATCATTTTGGAAACATGTAGAAATCAGCTCCAAGGGTGTATCTCACTGGTTGATAAAAAGCTCTTGAAGGTCTTTGATCATCTGAGTAAGATTCCGACCACATCCAGTACTCTGGAAAAAAGAAGTAAGATAACAGAACGATAAAAAAAAGCAGTCAAAAAAGGGGTACATATTACAATTGATAAAATTTTCCCCTCATTTCATCAAGCGCACTGGACGCTTTTGAAAAGCTTGAGGTACAACCTCCTATTCAGAGAAAACCTGCCATTAGAAAAGAACGCTGATCCCCACAGAAAAAAATGCTTTACTAATATATCGGTATCTCCATTTAAAGTTCTTGAAAGCTGCCTCGCTCCCAGAAGTCCTCCAAACCAGTAAGCGCGTAAGGTAGAGGGGTATTGCGACAGACACCTTCCTTGCTTTCTTTGTCTTCGGCACCCCTCACGCCCTACACTTGCCACCGGTTAATCGTGCTTCGCGCTTGTTTCTGGGTGCGTTCACAAATGCTTACTGGTGGAGGCTATCAAGAAGGTGTTCAATTAAATTTAAGTATCACTGTACCTGTAAATGTTGTATCTCCTTGTGATAGGAGCCCCCCTCCACGCCGAGCAGGTGCACATGACCCTGCCCACTGGAGTATAAAGGATCAACTTTCAGGATGCACACAATTTTACCGCTCTTCCCCAGCATCACTCGGATACGGCGGTGGCTTGGTTCCCAGTCAATCGCATAACTGAATCAAAAAAAGGTACACTGTTGTTAGTCTCACGTCACAGGGAGAAGCCCCTGAAAACACGGTACCTCACACGTCGGCCATTACAGTGCTGATAATCATTACTGATGACTTTGAAAAGAACAAAGTACACAGTGTGAAACGACGCTTATAGTGTACGATTCAACTTGGGTTGATTCAGGCGTGAAAATTTTTTTTAAGAGAATCCGATCATATCCGGAGATTCCCTAGGACGTTCGTAAAAATTTTCCAGGCCGTTCCTTCCGAGAAGCCCCGACACAACTTTATCTCCCGTAGTCTTCCATTGATAACTGTAAGGTTAGGGAAAAACTCAATCCAGTTAAAAGAACTCTCCTCTCGGACTAGATCGAGTTTTTGTAACTTCATTAAATTAGTAAAAAAAAATGCATTCGTTATTCGAAGACTGTTGTGACTCGTCTTCGATTCATATCATCCAATACAAAACTTCTTTAACAACAACTTTTTATGACTTTTATTTGACTATCTGAATTGGAATGCTTAAGCCACTTATCAACTTTTTGGAACATTAATTTAAACTCGAAAAAAAGCTTAAATGAGGAGTCTGGAATCTTAAGGAAGTATTAAACCAAAATGGAACAAAGTTGTTAGCAATTAGAAAATGGGAACACTCCAATGGATTAGAAATGTCTTGCACCTCTGTCGAGCCTAAGTGAAAGAGCAGCAATCGTGAAATACAGTGCTTATTCCAATGCGCCGATTTGCTCGTGCCTCACATTCCCCTCCACTCACTTCGTTTGGAGTTCCTCCACTTCTCGGATCAGACCTTGTTGATTCTTGAAGCGTCGTTTCACTTGAAAAACAAATCCGGCAACGTCATTACTAAGAACGGCTTCATCAACAAGATCATCTATACTGAGTGAGTCCAGGTTGACCTGTGTAAACGAGAGAAAATCGTGAAAAAAATAACACGTCTCTTTAATTTCGCTGTGGATGGAACCCATGATCAGTCTCTGACCAAAGAGCCCTGAATCTTCGCATGACTCGATACACGAGAGACAAGTGCCACCTGAATGAAGGCTCTTTTTGTACCACAACTGAGCTACGCACTGGAAAACTTCGTGTCTAAATAAAATGGTAACTTACCAAAGGCTTTCGAGATTCGGTACAACCATTAGTATATAATGTAATAACAAAACCGTGTTGCTTTGACGGAGTGCTAACGCTCGAAACGTCAGCTTTAGAAACTCTTTACGATGGCCAATTTACGTTATCAACTCAGTTAAATATATAGATTTAGCCAAGCCTAAAAGCGGAGCTCGTATTTTTTTCCCGCACGTCTCAAGGGCACAACGCCTTGCTCCGGCCAGGACTAGAACCCGGGTCTTCCGACTCGGAGCCCAGTGCACTGACCACCGGACCACTGGAGCAAGCCGTGGCGTTGGCGTGCCCGCGGTACAGTTGACCACGTATGTTAAAAGTAGCACCTTGTACAGACGCCCGCACGGTCATAAGTCCAAATTTTTTCGGCTTGATGGGTTACTACCATTCTGTATAATTATGGGGCTACGCTCTGCGAGCTCCGCTATAAAACCAAATTATCTTGTAGTGCCCTCACCGACGCAGCACCACTATTTCTTTGGAAACGTGCTCCCTTAATTCAGTTGCTAAAAGGAAGGCATGTTTACTGACATATTGTAAGGTATTTTACCGTTGCTCCTCCGAACACAGGACGTGTCCCTCCGTCCAGACGATACTTAATGGTCAAAATCAAGGGGGAGGCAGTTCGACCAATAACCTCACCCCCCTGATCTTCAATATGTTCGTCACTCCGTATTTCCAAGACCACGCAGTCTCCATGTAGGCTTTGCACAGAGACACCTCCAAGGCGACTGTGTAGTTCAACCACATCTGTCAACCTTGATAAAACAAATAACGGGAACATGGTTTATTGAGATTTAATTCGGTTGAATTTTGTAAAACGAATGAAGAAAAAAAAACGCAACGCTAACCAGAGTAAGGCCTCTCCCATAAGCCTGGTGGCTTCTTGGGTCTCCTCGCCTTCTATAAATCTAATGCTTTAGAGATTTTATTCAGTTTTGGATCGTTAAAAAGGCAAAGAAATGATGATGATGATGATGATGATGGTGAGGAGGGGTGGTAACTATCACAAAGAACCAGTTGCGCGCAACGCGAGGGACCATTCCGCACATGGTTTTATTTTGTATCTACGTGTTTGGTTGGTTTTAGATAACTTTTAAAGTGCCTAATACGAACCAGGGTCTAGGTCATTCCAGATTACTTGAAAACTGCTTGTGATCTAAGAGCCTAATGCACGAAGGAAAAGAACTCTAGAGACACCATTGGGAGCATTCAAAAGAGGAATATTGCCAACCCTCCCACCCCCTCGACAGCAAGATAGTCCATCGTTGTAACCTCCCTCCACCCCTGCAATTTTTTCAAGCACTCCCTGACAGTTCTCTGGTATCCGGTTGTACTCCAGGGTGGAGAGAGGCAGTACAACAATTAACTCCCTTCCCCCCCAAAAAACAAGACAAAACAAAACAAACAAAACGAAGCATAAAACAACAACAACAAAAAAAGATCCCAAGACCAGCGCTAACCATATAGCCTGTGAACAGGCTCTCCAGTTGAGGATGGGACGACGAGGAAAGCGGAAGAAAAGGAGCGAGGGGGTAGGGGTGGGGAGGAAGGCGGAGAGGAAGGCTATAACCTCAAGGACGCCGCGTCTCCTGCGTGGGGCTTGAAACATTTTTCTCGGGGCATACAATCTAATGAAAACACAATGTATCGCATAATTGTTACGTTATGTGAAGAACTGACAATAGAGACATGTCATTTACCATTGTCGCCTTTTCCGCTCTTGTTCGTCGTGATCTTTCGTCATCTCTGTTTGCCTCTTTAGTTCTTCCTCCCGTTCCTTGACAAACTCCTCCAGACGACTCACCTCACCCTTTAACAATCCTTTGCAGTGTTCAAGTCCAGAAATTGCTGCTGTACACTGTTGGATGGCTAATTCTGCCTCTGCCTATAAAAAATATAGCACATCGCCTGTATATGTTCTTGCCTTTAAATCAGTGGAAAACTTGACCAGGAATACACTTTTCAAGAAAATTGGCTAAAAAATGTGTCAAGATACATGAGAATAACTCTCTGCACCGTGATTCTTCCGTGAAAGTCTTGGACTTGTTGATTAACAGTAAATTGTAAACTTCCTTCGCACATTAATGATTCATCAACATTACGCAGGGGTTGGGAAGAGTAAGATGCAAGAGCAGCAAAACTTTGCGACCCTAATGACAACCTACCTGCAGGCTCCCACTGATGCTACGACAAAAGCGTGAAAAGCCGCGCGATTTGAGTCGGTGAGCGATGTGGGCGCGCGAAGGTTCATGGGGATTATTGGAAGAAAAATGAGTTCCAAAACCCTCGAAGACCTCTTGCGCGCTGACCAGTTCGAATCTGCCGCTCGTTCCACAGTGCTTTCGAAAGCCTGCTCGCAGGCAACAATGACAAATGCTGCAGTTGGCGTTAAGGTGGGGGAAAGTGAGGGAAGATGGCTTAAAAATCGTTCTTAAACCTCATCACTTACTTCAGGGAGCAGGCTCGATGCGTTATGCCTCGGATACAAAGAGTACTTACCAGTTCATTGTTCAATTCCAAATCCAATTTCGATTACTTTCATATTAAATCTTTTTCCATTTCACTTTTTTCTCTGCTGGATGTTTTAGTAATTAAACTTTGTTTCACTGACCTGTTTCGCTTTCACATCTTCCAACGAGCCATGGCTATTTTCCTAACGAGATGTCAAAAAAAAAAAAAAAAAAAAAAAAAAAAAAAACGAAATGAGGGATTATTGCCAACTCTTTAAATTTCCAGAGCGCTGCAGCAACCTGGACAGATTTTCTCGATACTCATTTTTAATTCTAGGAAAAGTATTTTGGGGAAAGGCTACAATCCAATAGAGTAAAAACCCGTGCCTCTGACTAGGGATTCTTCATCTGATGAAAAAGAACTTTGAGACAGAACAGAGAAAAGTGTTTGTGATAACAGGGTGGCATTTACACTTCACATTGGCTTTTCCGAGTTTCTTTCATCTCTACTACTGTGTTAAAAATAGCCTCCACGCAAAATTTTGCGACAATTCTTGAGCTATGCAAAACTACCTTCAACGAGACAGAGACCACAAAATATTATAAAAGAAGTAAGTTTAAGTTTCTCAAGAAACTGTGGTGCTACGTCGGTGGGTTGAGGAGAGGGGAGGGAAGGGGAGGGTGCGGTGTAAGATAAGATAATTTTCTTTTATCAACTAAGTTGATAAATGTAACTCGGCCACCGTAGAGTTTCTTAAGCTGACATTCTGAACGTGAACCCTTCGTCAGGGCGAACTACGCTCGGCTGACGTTCGGAAGGTCAGCTTTAAAATCTCTTTACAGTGGCTAAGTTACATCATCAACTTCGTTGTTAATGCTTAAGACAGAAAAGAAACATTCTAAAACCCATGAAAAGGAAGAATGGAGAATATTGAGACGGAAAGCGGTCGACGAACCAGATAAAGTTCGGCAAAATTCTCCAAGATGCACCAATCTTTGCCTGAGATATTTCAGTACACTGTGACCAGTTTGTCTCTGCTTAAGAGATTGCGTGACCTATTGCATAAGGCAGCCGCAAGCTTAAGATTGCGTGGGCAGGCGGAAAGAACCACATGGAAATCTAGAGTGTGCTACTGATTCTAAACAATTTTCACAATAAATACTTCCTTAGAGGCATTCTTCAAACATGAAATATCTCATTAAGTCTCCAAGGAAAAGTCACGTTGAAATCTAAAAGGCGACAGCTAGTCTTTGCTCGGGATCAAACTCCAAACCATGACTCATGATAGTTTTGTCAGAGGGTAAACCTAAAATAACAATCGTGATTGGACGATAAAGAGAATAGAGCGTCATGTTGACATAAATCTCTAAGCCCCAGGGTTTAAAATTTCAATTTCTGAAAAGAAATCACTAGGTGATTATGTTGGGCCTGAAAAGAATTTTGGGTCTGTCTGGCGGAGTGGTGGTTGACGAGGAAAATCGAAAGGAACTCTGAAGCGCGGACGAATGCTAACGGCTTTTATAGGATTGTAACTGTGATTTCATTCTATAAAGCTATCAAAACGTTTCATTGGTCTACAATCTGTGAACTGGAGGCGTGATTCGACGAAACAATTGTGTGAATTTATAGCAATCCTAAAACCAATTTATCTGGAACCTTGTTAGAGGATAACAATCACTGAGTCGGTCAGTTTTCGATCTAATAAGGTATCAAGCCAGTTTTCCTTTAACTTCTGCGTTCGGCTCGGCTCGACTTCAAGGAAAGAGATGAGTTGGATTCGAGATCAAGGTCATTTGTCTCGTGTTTTAGAGGAAGAGCTGAAATGTCCGGTGTGCCTAGACGAATTCGAAGATCCAAAGAATCTGTGTTGTTCTCACACATTCTGCAAACGGTGTCTGAGTCCGATGGTGGAACACAATTTGCTTCGATCCTTCTTGCGTTGCCCCACCTGCAGGCGAGAAACTGAGATACATTTTCCGGAGGGCATCGACGGTCTGCCTACAAATTACATCGCGATTGCTCTAATATCCGGGAAAAGTAGAACCAAAGAGATCAAGGAGGTGGAGGACCGTGTAAATAAATGCAAGGAGACTTTGCAAGACAAAAAGGGATTGTTGTCCAAAATCATGGACACATCGCAGAGTCTTGGAAACCGAAGGCAGCAAGTTGAAGGTGAAATTCGGCAAGCTGCAGAAAGAATTGTGCTGATGGTGAGAACTAGAGAGGAAGAACTTATAGAAGAGCTTAATTCGGCTGTGGCTCGACAGCAGAGTGATTTAAGACAGCAAAAAGTTGTGATACAGAATTTGATAGCAGATGCAAATAGGATACTCAATGATGCCCAGCAACAAATCAATGCACTCTCCACAAAGAGGCTTGTTGAAGCTAAAGATTCGATCCTATCTCAGCTCCGAGACATTGATGGTATAGAGATGGACATACCGGAAATTAATCCCATTGTATTTACTCCAAACACAAGTTTTAACGAAAGTGAACAACTAACTAAACTTGGAAAACTGGACGTTCATTCTACTCAAGAAGACCCAGAGAGCTCTGACGTTCATTCAATTAGTCTCGATTACTCAACAGGTGAAATACAAATTTCTGCTTTTGGAACACCTGGGGCTGACAAGGGTGAATTTACCCTCCCGTGGGGCGTGGCCATACGGGACGATGGCTGTATTGCTGTTGCTGATCATGCTAACAGCAGGATTCAAGTATTTGATCATCGAGGCAGTTTCCTTCATTTTTTAACAGATGATGAAGTAGAGAGTGTTCACCTTCCCACCGGCATTGCGTTTGACCTTGATCATCACCTTGTAACCTTCGATGATGAAACTCACAAAATCAAAGTATTGGACTCTGAAGGTCGGCTGATCAGGTGCATGAACACTGAGACTAAACTTGGCACCAAAGTGGAGGGAATATCAGTTGATAATGAAGGACACATAATTGTCACGGACTCGTCAAATGAACGGGTACTAGTGTTTCACCATAGTGGACATTTATGTCTTGAATTCGGAGCTGATGGGAAAAACAAGCTGGGCTGGCCATCATCTGCAGTTTTCCATCAAGGGCGATTTATTGTCTCTGACACATTTAACCACTGCCTCAAGGTGTACAACCGACATGGTGTCTACCTTCAGCAGATTGGAAGATCAGGAAGAGAGCCAGGACAATTTATCAAACCGCGAGGACTGGCTGTGGATTCAGGAGGTAACATACTTGTGTGTGATTCTGGCAACTGTCGCATCCAAGTCCTTGACTCTTATGGAAACTTCGTAAAGAGCTTTGGAGGCTTTGGTGAGGAAGAGGGAAAGTTTTGTTTGCCATACTCTGTGGCAGTTGGAAAACGGGGGGAAGTAGTTGTGTCTGACTGCAACAGTCATCGCATACAGATTTTTCGATTCCCATCTCTTAATGAAAGCTCAAATCCTGCTTAACCCTTTGACTCCCATGAGTGACCAAGAGAGAATTTCTCCTTACAATAGCAATACAATATCAACCAGATAAGCGTTGAGAGTAAAGAAAAATATCAATTTGGGGATAATTAGTTGATCCAATGCTGAATTCTCTGAACTAACATTACAAGAATTGTATGGTTGACAGTAAGGATAATTACAAATTTGATCTGGGACTTAAAGGGTTAAAGTGAAAGAGGTGATGGAGTGATTTCAAAATAATTAACTGCAGTTTCAATGAAAATCAGTTGTTGCTAACTTTTGTATTTAGTGGAAAGAATGATTAAACTTTGATGGGTTTTGTGAGCAAAATAGAAAAAAAATTTATAGTGAGCTGATAAGCTTAAGCAAGACATAATAATTCGAGAGTACTTTTGTAAAAGAAAATTTGCTAATTCTAGCGCACAATCAATTTTTATAGATTCTCATTTTCATACAAGTAAAACTTTGTTTGGCCAGCGGTCGTTTGGGTGATAGAAGAGCCATTTAATTTTAAATCCTTTATAGATTGCTCACTTCTAAGTGACTAATAATGAGCTCCAGCATGATTCGAAATTATTTTAGTGGCTGTTTTGGCAAGTTTTTCATTTTGAGCCAGGCTGCTAGAAGAAACTCTTAAAAAAACTTTCATGCAAATCAGAAAAATGAGGTCACTGTAAGATGTAATCAGACAATTTTGTCATTGATTAATGGTGCATAAAATTAACCCTTTAAACCCTGAAAGTGATCAGCATCTAATTTCTCCTTACATTAATATGGCTGAACCTTATATTAAGGTCATGAGAATAAAGGAAATGATTGCCAAGCTTTGATTGTTAAACAAATTCTCCTTGTCGGTACTTAAGTAAATGCATAGAGAAGAGTATGGAGAATATAGATTCTGATAAAGGGTTGAAAAAATTTTCTTGAAGGTACCCACACTGGCTTCAAAATGAAGAAAGACAGAAAAGTCACATGTGCAAGCTTGAATGCACCCTTTTCTGCTGTTGTATAGGCTTTACCCTACTTCCATTAAAAGCCGTTAACAGATAGGATTGTGGTTTTGTTTTAAAAGATGTTGATGGGGAAGGCAGACCATGGTTTAATGGGTCAAACTGATGAATGCAAAGTAATTTAGCCATGACTGGAATTGATATCAAAACTGTTCAGAGAGCACCCTTGAGCCTTGATTTTCTCTTAGGAAAACATTATTCAATTCCGTAATGCAGTTAAGAATTAAGGAGGAAAAGCACGACTTGTTAGTGCTTAAGCCCAGTCTGAAATACTGAGGGAAAATGGGTTGTATCTACCTTTTCCTGCACTTTGTTGCCCATTTCCTCTAACTTCTCTTTCAGCATTTCAAAGTTCTTTCTCTAAGAACAAAAAAGTTATAAAACTGTTAATAACTTACAGTGATTTTATTAGGTTTAATTGTGTTTGTTATAATTTGGGAGTTATGCCTAGAGCTGGTGTTTATTATTTATTTGCTAGATCAGATAACAGCTTTATCTTTCCATTTACGGCCATCCTCCCTAGAGATACAATAACCTAATGGTTAGCATGCTAGACTCAAAGTTGAGAGGTTCCCATTTAATTCCTTGCTGGATCATTATGTTGAGTTCTGTGGCAAGACACTTAACTCTCTCAGTTCCCAGTCCACACCCAGGAGTAGAACTGGGTAACAGTGAACTGACAGGGAAGCCTGGAAAAAATTCTGAGGGAAGGGGAGGGTTTAACCTGCAATGAACTACTAGCATCCCCATCCCTCAAGGGTAAGTAGCAATAGTGCTTGTTGTTTCATGTTACAAAAACCAGGTTAAACTACTGCCTGTTACAGGCTACTAGGCTTGAATGCAGGCCTCACCTTTTTTAACTCAATTTGCCTGAATGAATTTAAAATGTTTATGTCTAGGGCTATGAAATGGTTTCATTTAATTCAAAAAATATCAAAAGGTTGCTGCCACCTGAATCCTTCACCATGAAAGATGGCTGAAATAAGTAAGTCATGCTAACAGTATCTAGGCAAACATATTCATTTGGTGATCACAATTAAAACGTGTAATAGTTCTAAAAATAAAAGTAACACCGAATTTTACAGACTGCATTTGTTATATTTATTTTACCTTGTCCTTTGTGCTGACAAGTCTGTTTTCCAAAAGGTCAAGCTTCTCTTTCAAAATTTTATGTTCTGCCAAGTCAATACCATATTAGTGAAGAGCAGTTTTCAATTGAGTGTTGATAGCAATGTAGAATTGCTTTTTTTTAGCTTCACTCTGCCTTGTGATTGGTCCAGAAAACTTGCACCATTTTCTCAACCAATCAGATTAAAAACTAACACCAGTTACATCTTAGTCACCTGCATTTCCCAACCCCTCAGGCACTTTACATGGTTTTCCTTTTGTCTGTTGATTATTTTGGTTTTGGTTTTAGGGCAATTATCAGTTATCTGAAAGGTTCTCACATGAGACTCATGTCCTGCATTCTGATAGAATCAAAAAAATTGAAAGCATGGAGACACTGAGAAAGATGATAATGAAGAACATTCTTATGGTAATTCCTTCAAAAAAAGATTCACGGTGATCTGATCAACCACAACTTGAGAAAAATTTAATGTTATCTAAACAACCACTGTATCAAGTAATGGAAAATCTGAACAAGAGTAAAATTATGTATGAAAGAGGGTAATTAAAGCTTTCAAGATTAAAATTTTTGCAGCTTTTCCAGCTATCATACAACTAGGTTCAGTGAATCTGGTGACAATATTTTTAAGTATTTAAAAGACCTCAATTGATTACCATAATAATTCTAAGAAACTAAAAGTTTATGTTCAACTCACTTGTAGAGAGAGTTTCAGCCATGTCATCAATCTGTGTCTCCAGCTCCTCAATCATTACTTTATCTTGCTTGTTTTCACTCCTAACATTTGATTGGTGCTCTAAATAGAAATCACCACAAATACAGTACAAGAGCATGACAGAATGATAAAAATGAATGAACTGCTTCAGTAATAATATCATGCAAATTTCTCTTTTTCTTAACTGATAATTGCCCTAAAACCACCTCTAAAATTCAATTTGTCTTGTTTACTGGCTGTGGAAGAGAGGGTGGGATAAGGGATTTAGGAGATTAAGAGTGCAACCATCCCCCCCTGAAACGAGTTAGGGTTTTCTAAATGAATATGACTAGTATTCTGAGAAAAAATAAAGAAAAAAACTAAGTAGTTTATTGGTGTTGAACTAACGCATGAGACAAGGCTGAAGAATTTATGTGTAATGCCATAAAAGCAGTAGTTTGATACTGAAGTTTCAGGCATTACCCCTTCTATTTGTTATAGCAGATGTCAGTTTTGTCATTCCTTATGGCACACCCCCTCCAAAGAAAAATTCCTTGATCTACCCCTAGGCTCTCTCCCACCTTTTGGAGAGGAAAAATATCGTCAGTTCAGTGAAAATTGGCAGAGGGGTATACAATAGAATCACAAGATTGAAATCTGAATTTAGCATAATTTTCTAACCATAAGTGAGCACGTAATTGAGTATTGCTGATTCAAGAGTAACCCATTATTGAGTATTGCTGATTCAAGAGTAACCCATTAACCCCTTAGAGTGAATGGTCTCTAATTTATGCTAACAGCATCACCCTTGAACCAAATATAAGGTTCATATGAATTAGGAAAATCAAGTCACCAAATTAAGAAGCTAATGATCGTCAAGAAAATTCTCTTTATATAGGAAATGTTAAGAGACAAGTGTGGAAAAAATTAAGATCAATGTTAGGGTAAAAAGGTTTCAAATAAGAGCTGTGAGACAAAAGTGCAGGTGATAAGACAAATAAGTTACTTTCATCACTTGCCTTCTGATGAATGGATATTAAATATTGTATGATTTCTCACCAGTCATTTCAAGATCACTAGCTGAAGACCAATTTTCTCTCGCCATTTCCAAAAAACGAGATTGAGTTTGTAACCTTATCAAAATAGTTTTCAGACTTGCCAGATGATTCTGTAACGAAAAAAGAAAAATGTCCAGCATATCAAGACAAGGCAATTAGAGAAAAAAACGTTTATGGTTGAATTTCAATTTCAAGTCAATTTTTTCTGCTGATAATATTTTCAGAAAGGTTGACAGTCGATAAAAGCCAATACTCAGAACTGCAGCTCTCTAACTCAGCTGCCACAGACGACTGATCACTTTTGTCGAGTCTTCTTAGAAAAACTTTCCTTTTATGAAGCTTTTGAGAGCTGGGCAACTCAGAGTTTTTGCAGCAAGGGCCTTTAGGTATCCAGCGATTCTTCTAAGAGCATAACTTTGATTAAATCGAACATTTTACCTTGTGCTTTTGTAGCTGCAGTTCATGATTAACATCTCCGATGTTTAAGATCTCAAGATTTTTGTCTACATTTTGGCTGTGATTTCTGATATCTTGAAAGATCCTGTTATGTCATAATCAAAAACGAGTCGTATAGTAAGCAACACCGTCAATTTAAAAGAAAAAATGCGTAATCATGCGTTTGGCATGCCGCATAACGAAAAAAGTATTGAAACCTTTCTATTCCGTCCAGTTCAGAATTTCCTTCGGCCGCCATTTTTCAAACTGACCGCCAACCAAAACAAACGAGACTGCACTTCTGGTTGTCAGCGGCCTAGATTTCGTAACCAATCTTTTTCAACTACAAACATTTACTTTCTCTTTCCCTTTTCCTTTTTCCTTCATGAAGATTTTGTGATCGAACCATGTGGTTCATGTCGATAGTCTTTTATGATGATGAGCTCTTTGGTTAGTCAAGATTATGATGCAGAATCAGGAAGCCATCATTCCGCCCCCGGTACTAGTTATCCCTCATCAGGTTTGGCTACTTCAGCAACGCATCGCAGATTTTCCCCAGCTCGACGGCTTTTTTGTCTTCTTGCACTCTTCGATTTCTTGGCCACCTTGTTTATTTGGATTTTGTACGCGCATGTAAGTAATCTGCTTTTTTTTTGTTTTTTTTTTTTGTTAAAGGTATGTTAGCTAATAGGTCGCAATAAGCGTAATGTCGAAAGCGGAAATAATTAATATTCTATGTAGGACAGTACATTGTGTATAGACGCAAGATACAGAAGCAATTTCACACCAGTATGCATAACTGTTGTCCTGATGAGATATCATGCATTTCAGGCATTTTCAAGTCTATAAAGTGCCTGTTATCACTTAAATCTCAGTTATTTCCATGGCTTTGTATTTCACTTGAGCTCAATCAAACGTTTTCGTTCGTGATCCTCGGATAATTCACGCAAGAGTTAGAGATCACATGATCACGTATAATTTCCTTTTGATACCAGTACTATTTTCTACCATTAGTGTTGCATAGACATACACTGTAATCGATAAGAAAAGAAAAAAGTTATTCATCCATAAAAGTTTTTGAAAATCAATTTCACACAATTTTTGCAGAAACTGCTAAAGAAAATACAAGCTCTTGAAAATTTACTCTTCAGACTTTTTAAAATTTTTGTTCATGCATAAAAGTTTTTGAAAATCAATTTCACACAATTTTTGCAGAAACTGCCAAAGAAAATACAAGCTCTTGAAAATTTACACTTAGGACTTTTTTAAATTTTTGTTCTTGAAGACTGATGAATATAATGAAGGCCTATAACATACATTCGCTAGCTACTTTGTAAATTTTGATCAAAGACATAAATTTAAGTATGTTTTGAATTGATCATAAGTCTGGGATTTAACCCTTTAACTCTCATGAGTGACCAAGACAGAATTTCTCCTTACAATATCAATACATATCAAGCCAACAACTGATGAGAAAAAAAAAGTATCAATTAGGGAATTATCAGTTGATCCAGAACCAAATTCTTTGAACTAACTTCATGAGAACTGTAGACACTGTGAGAAGAATTACTAATAAGATTCTGGAAGTGAAAAGGTTAGATTATTGGAAAATTAGATAACTAGTATTGATTACTAGACCATTGATAGAAAAGAAACAATTTAAAGGTGTGTCTTGGTACTTTAAAGATAGCAGATTTCAACTGTAAAAATTTGGTGCACTTATTAGCTCAGTGAGATTTGTGACAATGCTTCCTTCTTCAAGGCTTAGAAATGAGTGCAATGTTTTAAAACTTTGTATGAATCAATTTTCAGGGTTTAAGTGGTGAGTTTAAGGAAGTTATCAAATCTGATGTTCAGAAGTACCATTTTAAAAAATCTTTGTGTGATTTAGTGGTAAGTGTTTAACTCTGATGGGATTTTTTTCTTGTTAGATGTAATCCTCATCACAGATAATCTGACACAATGATAACCAAACAGTGCTATTGTCCAGCCATATTTACTGAGCAAGAAGTGGTGACTAAAGATTTTTTTTATACAGCCAAAATTAAGCTAGTGCTCAACAATTTTACTCCTGTAACTGCAAAATTAGTGTGAAACCTCTCCTTGGTTTTCTCGGGTCATTGCCAAACATCCCCAATGTAGCTCTAGTCTTTTACATGTAGTTTTGGGTTTTTAAATATGAATTTTCAAATTTATCAGAAATTCAATTTGGGCATTAAGTTTCAAGAATAAAAATGTTTTAGTTTGCTAACTCATGATGTGACTTGCATGTTTAGATGTTGGCATTGTGGCGGATGACTGTTCTTCTTCTTGCTTATGCCCTATTTGTGAGCCGAAAGTGGTATGCTGTGGGGGTGAGTATAAAAGATTTGTACACACACCTAGCCTGTAGAGCAGGCATAATTGTCACTAGCAAGTGGTATATTCTTGTTGTAAAACATAGCTGCCATCTTTGATTTTTAAAGCATGGGAAGGCTAGGCAGAGAAAGAAATTTGTGCCAAGGGTGTGCATGATGGTCGTAAGAAATGAGAGGGGAGCAGAGGTGGGGTTTTCTCTGCCTTCTTCCCCCCTTGTCCACTCTAACTCTTAATCAACCTGGCCTCATGGCCATCAGATAAATTTTTGCGAACTTTTACTTTAACTTGCTCTAATAACACCCTTGCACTGCAAGCTAACACATATCTTGATAGCATTATCTACAGGTGCATTGTTAATGTAACATAGTGATTATAATACAGTACAGAAACCGTACTGAAAATAATATTTAGTAAATAGTTAAGTTGAATTGAATGAATTCTTTGCAGAAAATTTTTGACTGCAACACTTTGATAAAAAAAAATTTTAAATGTTAGCATGTATATGCACTGTGCATGACAAAATGCTTATGAATTAGTCAACCCACCATCAAGAAAAACTGACTAATAAGTTTCCACAAGTTAGACTTACAATGTCAGACTGATAAACAACTCCTTGCTTAACTCTGGTGATGACTTCTGTTCAGGTTGTCAAAATTTTAGTAACTGCCAGTGCTAGGATTCCTTTTTAGGAGTATGCTTGCCCTGTAGGATTAAACAAATCAATCAATTGTTGCTATTAATGATGCCCAAATAATTTATTGTTTTAAATTGTGATTCATTTCCTGATCCTGTAGGAACATTGAGATAATTTTTTTTTTCTCTGTATGATTTTCTTTAATTTATAGTTGACAACTGGCAGCTCAACTGTTTTTCTTCTAGTCAAAGTCATATTAATGCAATTCGCGGTAAGTTAACTTTATGAACTGGATAATGTTAAACACATAAGGTGTATTTTAGAAATGTGTTAGTGAGACTCAATAGCAGCAAAGTAATGAAAAACTTGTTCTAGTTAGGTAGCAAAACTTTTGGAAAACAATTGAAAATTGCTACTAGTGGTGCAGTTAACATTTTCAATTTTGTACAAGGATTTATGACTTGCGTGTTTTTGTGGTACTTTTGAAAAGTGTTTTCTTTGACTGACTCTTTTATCAAAGGGGACAGTCATATTTGAGAGCTCTTTTTTGGTGCAAGGTAAACCAGGGTTGAAGGGGTGCATGGAAAAAAGGCCTAAGTGACTTATTATCAGCTACCGTTGTCTCATTTCAAATCAACTCTTCTTCCCTTATGAAACAGAGGGAGAATTAAGTGTTGCATCAGTTGTTACTCAAGTTTGTATTCCATGCTTCCCCTATTTTGATACTTACCAATCCCTTCTTTTTGTCGGCCACCAAAAAAATAATGGATCATTACTAGTTACACAACAACTTTTTTTCTTCCTTGTTGGGATCATGCTTACAATTTGCAATATGTACTTATTCCTGTCATAAAAACTAAGTTGCTATAAAGAAATAAAAAATCCTTATGCTCACAATTCACAGCTAAGAATCAAGCCTTGTATTGCTCAAGTTTAAGTAATAATTTGTTCAACTAATGTTACAATTGACCCTTGTTTAAGTTATGTCAACTTTTTCACTCCAAAGATCTCATTAGTAACTCTTCTTACTTTCTGCCATGGAATTCTTACAATGTTACTTCAGAGAATTTAGTATTGGATCAACCAATACATGTAATCCCTTAATTGATATTTTTCTTTATTCTCATCACTTGTCTACTTGATATTGTTTTCATTTTTGTAAGGAGAAGTTCTGTGTTGGTCACTATGGGAATTCAAGAGATATGGCCATTATCCCATGTATTGATATGTTCAACTTCAGGTCACGGTTTATATGAACTTGACACTTGGAGCAAACTTATGAAAATTGCCCTTCTCAAAATGTTCCTTCCTAAATCCTCTTCTATAATGTCTTGCAAACCTGATTAAAGATTGATTCATGAACATCCAATCTAAATTTAACTGAAAAATTGAAGGGGAATTGACACAGTCCTATCATCTAATTACGTTTTTGGTTTGTTCCCTGTGCAGTCTCCAAAAGATGGAACCAGCGAATATTTGTACTATGTCCTAGTCTTGTCGTCGCTTATTTTATCGTGGGTAGAAGTTTGGGTTTTTGATTTTAAGGTATGTTTCACAAATGACTATTTATTAAGAAAATATTCTCTTGAATGTCGAAAGGAATCCGAAATTTTTTGGTTTTGCATCAATTCGGTCTGTGATTGGTCTAGAAAGTCTGCACCTTCCTCTTAACCAATCAGACGCTAAAGAAAACCAAAGGTGACTTGGTAGCCCGCGTTTTCCCGCGTTTTTGGTAGTTTGCCTGTTTTACTTTGAGTGCTCTTTTATTTGGCTAATGATGATATAAAACGTATTTATTATTGTGCAGTGGGAGACACTGTAGCCATACGGTTAGCGCGTGCGCTGAAATCAGGAAAATTATCAGAGAAGCACGACGAAATTCTGTGGGGTAATCTTAGGATGAACTGGCATCTTCTCCAAGTAGAGGAAGTAGTAATACTCCGAGTCACTTCATGCCACAGAAATCGCGATAAGTTCCGGCTAGATGAGTCACGTGGCTCGATTGCAGACTTGACATTTTTGCTAAAAGTCACCAGCTACGATGAAATTTATAACAGGCTGAATTACACACGCGTTTTGATTGGTCTTTACTCGTGATCTATTGGAGGAAAGACGCATAGATGACGTCACCAGTAACACATTTTTGCCTCTTGATTGTATGAAACAAATGAGCTCCATGTTGCCGTGCGTCTTTCCAGAAATAGATTACAGACGTCAAAATGTGGTAACACTCGTCTGCGCCTCGTGGGCCACTTTTTTGTTCTCACAAAATCTTGAGGTCATCTGTGATCCACAACTGAACAGGCGCACGGCATGGAATCTATTTGTTAACCCTTTACACCCTAACATCAGTATGCATATTCTCCATACTGTTCTCAATACATTTCCTAAGGTGCTGACAAGGAGAATTTGTTTAACAGAAAAGAGCTTCTATCATTGGTGATCATTTCCTTTTTTTCTTGTGACCTTTCTGTGTGATTTGGGGTTGATATTGTAAGGAGAAATTAGATGCTAGTCACTCTTAGGGGTTTAATGGTTAATCTGTCCTCACAGCCACGTTCTTAAAATATACCACACAAGTATCATTACATCTTTCTATGTAGGAATCCAAATCCAACATGCTGACTGTCCCAGCTTTAAACAGATATTATATTTTAAATCATTCAGGTTATCCCTGCTGAGACCAAAGAGGAGCAGCGCCAGTTTCGAGGTACAGTGAAACATTTACTAAGCGGACCACCAGTTAAGGTGACACCTTCGATTAAGCAGACACTAAGCCGGGTCCCGAAATTAATGTCTTACATTTCCCTTAGTTTATAACGAAACCCATCAGCGTGCACCTCTTTTTAAGCGGACGCGGACACTAACAAAAATTGTATTTGGCTAATTTCTATCGTTAAAAACCTCTACGAAGTGGACACCGGACTACTGTGTGTAATTTGTACATAAACACTGAAAGAGTCAATGAATTGCGCGAATTATCGTTGTTGTTTTTGTATTATTACCTACAAATTAAGGTTGGTAATGAACTGTAATGAACTTGAACTCTGAATTCCTTCGTTAGTAACATGGAACTTTATCGCAGTACAGAGTAACCGTTGAATGTTAATCGTTAACAATTATTGCGCAATTTTTACAAACCTCTATTTAGTGGATTCCCACTATGAAACGGACACTTGAGAAGGTTTCGAGGGTATCCGCTTAACAGAGGTTTCACTGTATATTTGATACTTGTTTGTCCAGAGAGCTAAGTTACTCTCTGACAATCTTGATCGACCCGAAATCTGAACTGTTTTGGATTAAAAAAAAAGGAAACCTTTTCGCTTATGTGGAGGTTCCTTTGCATCGTGTGAAATTAAGCTTGGTTTAAGTTTGATATGCTTTGTTCTCTACATAATTCTTGGGCTCCCTGTGCATGCCCGTGCTTTCCACCGTAGTGCGCGAGAAATGTTCTTACGTGGAACAAGCGCGAATAGTAGAATTCTAATTTTCCCAATGTGACAAACTTTTCGGTAAAAAGGCAAAAGATTATTTTGAAAGCTACTCTCAGTAATACCTCAAACCATTTGAAATGGACCCGGGTTAATCAGAATTTATGTCAGAATAAGTTGTAAAAAAAATTTTGATGAAGGAGTTAAACTTGCGCAACCTGGTTTCGTTCGTAGCGTGCACTAATAAAAGCCTTGTTTGATATATATTAAAGTTCACACGGCAATCAGGTGGACAATCAGACATAGTTTGATGCTACACTGGTTTGCAGATTTAATGAATGTAACCGAAGAAGTTACAATTCATAGACCCAACGTTTCGACACTCCTGTCTAGTGCCTTCATCAGGGGTGATCTAAACGCTGCAACAAGAGGTCCTTTTATATGATCACTAATTAGCGGCCTTTTTTCTGACGAGGTGTAAATAGGCGTCAGGAAGCAAACCGCCATCGTCACGATTTTAAGGAGCGTGGGCGGAGTTAATATGCCAAGCCTCCAAACAAAAGCGCTGGTGGTAGTGGTGATAATTTTAGAATAATCCCACCCAATTGTACGGTTGGTTAGGCAAGTGTGCTCCGATAAAGCTTTTTGGTGCTCTTTTAACCGTGTACCAAACTGGCGTTTGGTCTGTCCGATGTATTCGTTGTCACAGTCATTGCAAGGAATAGAATAAATGGCGTCGGTTCGTTGTTCTTTCTTTTCATTTGCCGTTCTTCATAACCATTGATAAGAGAAATGAGCCTTTCTCTAAATGCTTAGTAATATAGTAATAATAACTATCTCTTGTTTATTCTTTGCAGAAGAGAGGAGGTCATTGTTACGAAATGAAAACCGCAGGTAAGCCAGACATGAAGGTATCTTGGGATTCAACCTTGTAGCCAATTATTCTCAGTTCTTAGTCTTTAACGGTTACTTTGTGAATCCTCAAATTAGCACCCGAGGACCCGGGCACCTGTGCTCTTATTATTAGTTCAAACAGAGATGAGCCTGAGAGGCGTCGACCCGAAGAGGCCGCTCAATAAAGGGGAAGCACATATTCCTTTTTTTTTTTTAAAATTCGTAGCTAGGTAAGATTGTTTTTGGTGATATAACGTAAAGATTAAGTACAGCCCATCTTTTTGCTTGAAGAAGACTCGCAAAGGGCGAAACATCACTGAATTCACACCGAAAGTGGTCAGGATTTGCGAGAGTAACTTTATATAAGAATATTTATTGCAAAGAAAGTAGTTTAAACTCTTTACAGCCCAAAATCACGATCCGTTTTCTCCCTACTGTTCTCAATACATTCTATAAGGTGCTTTCAGGGAGAATGTGTTTAACAATCAAGAGCCTCTCTAGTTAATGATCGTTTCCCTTATTCTCATGACCTTGATATGTGATTCAGGGGTGATATTGTAAGGAGAAATTAGATGCTGGTCACTCTTAGGTGTTAAAGGGTTAAGAATAGTATGTTGCTCTTCTTTTTCAGGCACCTGACTCCTTATTCGACAATTTCGGACAATGCTTTTTACACGCCAGAAGGTTGGTTTGATGTTAATTATTGCCTTTGATTTTCTAATATGTCATTCGGTGTCGTTAGACTTGTAGTTGTACTTGTGGGTTTTTTATTGTTTGATTTTGTTTATCTGTGTAAAACTTGTTAAATATGTTTCTGATGAATAACTGGGGAGGTAAAAGGGCTTCTCGCCGTGATATTGTGTACAGCCCATGTCATTAACCTAGTCTCTTTTCTCACAGGCTCAGTGAAACTTTAAAATGTAAGCTATGTCTCGCTGCAATTTATCTTAGTTACTCTTACAAAGAAATATCTACCCATGTTTTGGCATTCTTCTATTTGAGTGTCTTCTGGTCAGTGGCTTGAACGCCTAGCTATTAAGAATGTATCGCATAGAACCTGTTTGACTTTCATTTACGCCAACTTGGTTTGATCTTTTTCAGCGTCTGATGAAGAAAGTGAAAATGATAGGGAAGAGGCTGGTAATTTGACCTTGTCTCAAGAGGTAACTGTTTCTCATGAACATTTCCAGTTTATTGTTCCTTGCCTTATATAACCTTTTGTAAATGGTCACTTTTGAAAACAGCGCAGAATCCGAAGGTCTGGGGATTTTTTTTTTTCCACGCTCGTTACAAGACGAATATCATTTTTCCTTAAACAATTTTTATTTCTTGATAAATGGCCTTACTTTGAGCTTCTTGTAATCAAACACCTTAACTATTGAAAACTTTTAAACACATTACTCAAATCGGCCACATTTGGGGTGCATATCGGGAGCTAAGACTGGCCCAACCAAATGTGCGGGAAACTGGGTCGAGAATTTCCGGTGAACTTTCTGGGGATAAAAAATTGGACAAAAATCAAACAAAGCTTCCTTACCTGGCTTGGCGCTTCGAGAGTAGGAGTTCTTGTTTTAATTGCAGTACTACACTTTGAAAGGGCAATAGACGTAACTTGTCGTTTTATTTTATTGTTTTTTTACGTGAAAAGTAGTCTTGATTTCGTGTACTGGACCCACGCCCTTCGATACGATGTACCCCAAAGTGTTCATTAAATTCCTGTTCCAAAATGTCTCGTGTGCTCACAGGCGTACCTAAAGAGTGTCTGCACAATCTAATGAATTAATCTCTCATTGTTGATCTGTTTGGCCGTTAAGGATCAAGAATTTATTCAGAGAGGGAAAGAAACGATGGAGATAACCTGGGAAAGAATGCGTCTTAATGATGGTTGGAAAACGGAAAAAGCTAAGGTGAGGACTTCTTTTTCTGTAAGAATAACAGTAGAACATTCCACCAAGCTTGTTTTTGTAGATTCACCAAGAGCTTGTTTTGTTTTCCCCTATTTTTTTTCTCTTTTCACTTTCCTTTTTCTTCCTTTTTGTATAGGATGGAGTTGTTGTAGAAAGTAGAGTGATTCCGCTACCCGCAGGTGGAAAGAAAATATACAGATTAACGGTAATGAAAGTTTTATAGGGGGTTTCTAGTGTAGACGCAATAAACCTTTCCAAGAGAGTAACAATCGGGTTTGAGGTCTATTTGCAGTTGTTCTTTCCGAGCTTTGTTACTGACAAGAAAGAATGCATCGTGAAATATTTCAGAACTGTCGTAAGGCTCGATGGATCAAATGCGTAAAATCTCTCGTGCGATGTGCACGAATAGGGTGTGTGCGAGGCGAAGGCGAAAACATTGGAAAAGCGATACGAATTTGATGTGATACAAGAAGTTTCGACATTCAATTTTCAGCTTCACTCGCAAACCTTTGTGAATAATGAACTCGCACCTCTGGGTTTGTTTAAAACCCTTCTTAACCTTTTGACCCTTAAGAGTGACTAATAACTCTAATATCTCCTCACAATATCACCCTTAAATAAAACATTGAGGTCACGAGAATGAAGGAACTTGATTGTTAAACAAATTGTCCCTGTCAGCACCTAAAAAAATGTATGGAAAACAGTCGAACAATATGCATACTGGAGTTAGGTTGTAAAAGGTTAAGAGCTGTAATATTTTGAAGAATTTGTTTTTTCTTTAGCCTGCGACGCTGCGGCACGAGCGACTCTGCAACACGAGCGGCAAAGCCCACGTGTTTCGAGAAGGCGAGAGGTGTGAGCGCGCGAGTTATCCGCGAGCGTTTTAGCACGGAGAGTGTTACACAATGAAGTGGTCAAACGTCGGGCATTCGCGAGAGGATCAACTTTGGGCGCCCGGGCGAAATTTCTAAGAAAAACCTAAGAAACAACTGCTGTCCCGCAAATAAACAAAAGAAAATCGAGATGTTCATAGAAATTTGCAAAAGGATGAAGAAGGAGGCAAAAGAAAACCCGAGAATTTTCGAACCCGAAGTTTATTCGAGTTCGTGCATCCTGTTGCTTCACCGAAAAAAGTTATACGCTTTTATTCCTTTACACCCTAACATCAGTATGCATATTCTCTATACTGTTCTCCATACATTTCCAAAGAGGCTGACATGGAGAATTTGTTTAACAGTCAAGAGTTGCTTAAGTTGGTGATCATCTTCTCTATTCTCGTAACTTTCATGTTTGATTCAGGGGTGATAATGTAAGGAGAATTTAGATGCTTGTCACTCGTAGGGGCTAAAGGGTTAAACTCCATGTGTAACTTGGTTTGTGTTGTTGTTTGTAACTTTTGTGAGAGAACTTGGTTCTGACAGCCTGAAATCACGCCAGTCACTACAACGCACATGCGCAGACGTTTGACCGCAGTGTTGTGTCAGACCTATCTTAGACCTCTTGCACGCTTGTTCTGCTTTCCGAATCTCTCTTGCTTTACTCGAACGGCAGTGCTAATGATTGCTTGCTTGCTGGGTAGATTGATGTGTAGATGACTATTTTAGGTTTTGACAAATCTAAATAAGTGTTTTGATCAATCTCTGCTCAATCTCTTCTCTTCGTTCCAAAAGCCAACTGCTCTTCACTTGGGGATCGGGCCTTTGCTCATGCTGCATCTGTTTTATGGAACTCGCTGCCATTAACTGTAAGAACAAGTAGTAGCCTCGCCATTTTTAAAAAGCAACTTAAAAAATTTCTATTAAGAAAAGCCTTTAGTTTGTTTCAATAGTTCTAATGTTTATTGCCTTTATTTATTTTATTTTGTTTATTTTAATTTTTATTAGTATAGAACTTTAACTTATGTAAAGCGCTTCTGAATACTGTTTATAGTTTTAGCGCTATATAAATTCCTTATCATTGATATTAATAGGGCTCTTTAGACGCCAAAGCAGATGAGGTTTTTAATCTGGTTATTAAGCATCCTGAGGATGCACACAAATGGGGAGGAGACATAACAGCTTCCTTTGTAAGTCAGAAGTATTAGTAGAACTTTCATCGTACTCTATTTTCTTTTGTTAATGTTTCGTTTTTCCTCATTATAGAACAATTTCAATTGATTTTCGATTGCAATCTGGGATTGGTTTGGTATTGCGTTGCTCCACACTGTGATTGGTCCAGAAAACTCGCCCCACTTTCTCAGCCAATCAGATGCAAAACTAAAACAAATCAAGAATTGGTCGCCCGCGTTTTCTCGCGCGTAAGAAAGTTTCGTTGTTTAAGCTTCGAGTTCTCATTGGCTTTTAAAAGTATTTCCTTTCTTCTGATAGGCCGTTTTGATTACTTTGGTTTTGGGTTTGGGACACTTATTAGAAAAGCGCTCAATCGTCTTCGACTGATTTCATATCGAGCTCTGATCTCCGAAACATTGTAGTATGTGTGTGTCGTCGTTGTTGTTGTTGTTTTTCTGTTTAAGCTTCATCAAGTGCTTAGTTACTCATTAAGATCCGTGTCAGGTGGCTGACTTTACGTAGATTACCCTGGCCAACAGCTTACGTTACCGCTTAGAAGTATTTACATGGTTGGGCAATTTTGAGTTTCCCATAGCCTTGAGCCTGGAAAGATGAAACAATGGTTTTGAACTAAGATTTATTAAAAGAAATGTGTGCTAGCCCTATTCTAAGATCAAGATACTTTAAATTTTGTTTAAACTTCCAAAGTATGGTCTCTAATCATCATATTTATTTCAGGTCATACGTCAAATTGATGAAAATACGGATATTGTTTATAATTCCACTAGTGAAGCCGGCGGTGGAATGGTGTCTAGTCGGTGAGTGCGCATGCTCAGTGTTTACTACTTTGATTAAAAATAAAAAGTTCTGTATTTTATGACTGTTAGAATGAGTCACTGACGAGAAGCGCTTTGTAATTTAGGGATTTTGTAAATTTGCGTCGATGGGAAAAGCGAGGAGATGTGTTTGTTTCGTGCAACGTATCAGTTGAATGTGATGAGATGCCACCCAAAAAGGAGCATGTCAGGTAAGTATGAGTTCTATTTCATGAGATGCTAAAAGGAGACACGATCTTTAAGCTGATTTTAAATGCCGATGCTCAGAAAATTGTCGTTAATTGGGTTAAAAAGCTAAACTTAGCAATTTTCTAGCGTATGTTAGCTCCAAAGTTGCAGGAATTGACCAAAAAAGGATGGTTAGGAATGGCAAATAACACAGATTGTATTAAACAAACTAAAAAAGTTTAGGCGTGGAGATTTTTCTTGTATTAAGAAGTTCAAGTAAGATGGTTATAGAAGAGAACGACTATATTCTACCTCAAGGCTCTTGCTTCTCTTACAACAGCCTAATTATAGTCAGTTAAAGTTTTCTTAGAGTTCCCTGTCTATCCATAGTTAGTAGAGGAGACTAGTTATCCTTGTTGCGTTTTTCTTTATCGTCGCCTCTTTCGTGTTTGTCTTGTTGTTCGTAACTGACATTTCGTAGTGTCTTTCAAGTTGGAGGTAGTTTTATAAGTCACTAAATTTGCTAGAAATTAAAAAACTTTACTTTTTTAAGGCGAGAGGAGGCAAAATTACTGTGCATGACAGCTTATGTTAAATTTTTCCCAACTTCTCTCGCTTGAAACTGATTAAGTCTTCTCAATTTATTTCCTTAGCGTTGTGTTTTGTTTATTTTTGTTTTGATTTTGTTTCTTCAGAGCCGCAAATGGTCCAGGTGGCTGGGCTATACGGGAGGCTGAAGGGAATCCCAGCGGTACTGAATATGTTTGGCTGTTCGACGTGGACCTGAAGGTAAAAATAGCTTGGCCAGCCAGGGTCTGATCTAAAGAAAGATGAAATGATAGTGAAAGTTTGGACTTGTCACGACGCATTTTGGTTTCTATGGTGTTGGTTTTGGCACCCGATCGATAATTTGTGTTTAGCAGTACGTCACGATTGTGTGACGTAAAACCAATCACAAAGGCCAATAAGGAGATACGTTAATATCTCAAGGAGCAAATGAGGAGTCAAAATAAAAACAAGTAAACAGCTTGAAGTGCGGGAAAACACAAGCAACCAAATCGCGATCCGTTTCAGTTTCGAATTGGTGTAGATTGATTGGTTTAGAAAGTGGCGCAAGTTTTCTGAACAAATTTCAGAGCATAGAGGAGCAAAACCAAAACAATTCCGAATAACTTTCGATAATCTTTTTCAAGTTACTCTATAAGAGAGAGAAACAAAACATAAACAAATGAAAAGAGGCTGATGAAAGTTAAATCATCAAATGAAATATACTCACAAAACCAACCGTTGCCAACAACACCACAAAGGGCGAAACTGGTCCCGTGCTGTCTTTAAGCTACTGACTTACAAAGGAATTCCCCATTTGTGTGCATCCGGCATCAGAATGGTTGTTGACCAGATTAAAAACCTCCTCTGTTTTGGCGTCTAAAGAGCCTTGTCAATCATAACACTCATTCCGATTTGTCAAAACCTTAGTTAGTTATTTTAAAAAATTTGACCTGCGAGTAAGCTATCACCAGCACTGCCGTTCCAGCAAAGCTCGCGAGATTCGGAAGGCGAAACGAGCGTGCACGAGGTCGAAAAGGCATTCAATTAAAATTGCATTCAATTTAAAATTGTTATAAATCAATGATAGCGTTTTTTATCTTTTCTTTTTTTAACTCACTAGGGATGGTTACCGCAGTCAGTAATTGACGCTGCCATGTCCTTCATGTTGTTCCAGACAGGACAAGGATTAAAGGCTTACATCCAGGAACAACTCGGCTGATTGAAGAGGCTAGGCGAGAAATGAAGAGACACGGCCGCGTGAAAAGAGACCTGGAACCGAAAAAAAACTCTCTGCAAAATGTCATATAAGGAGTGGTACAATTTTTACAACAGAGCTTAGCGTGGAGACATAATTAATTTGATACTGTTGGGATGTAAAACACAGCGTCTAGTCATAGTGAGGCCAAGTCATTTTCAACCTTCAGCCAAAATTTTTTATTTACGTCTTTTCCAATCTGCATCATTTTTCCTTCGTCTTAAATTATCGTAATTCTTTCTTAAAGTTTTCTCCACTCTCTTGGTAACGGCTATCTTAAATTACATTTTAATTACACGAGTCTTCCACAGGGCGAAAATGGTTGCCGGATCTCCTGTAAGGAAACGAAGGGTTTTTTTTAAGGTTTGACTGGTGGATTTGGTCTTATAGTTTTCCTCACCCATGGCGTTCAGGATGAAATACCAAAGGAAATGCTTTTATTTTTATATTTTTGCCCCCGCAACTACTGTTCATCAGTTTTGAAGTGATGAGTGTTTTATTGGTAGATGGCAACAGACTACGTGATCGTGCGGTTGGCTTAATACTTTAAATTTCAAGTGGTTCGAGTTTTTTTAAGCCGGTGATTTTTAAAAGGAGTGATTTAGATTTAGTGTAGATGTAGATTTAGTTTCTTTTGGGGAGGGAAGCTTCCATTTGTTTCCAATACCCACGAAAGTAAAACTGTTTATGTAGAGAATAATACATGGGTGCGCGTAGATATGGAATTTCTCTTCGAGTGTTCAACACGATAGCTAACGAGTGTGCGCAGCGAACGAGTGAGATGTCGAGTTGAACGCGAGAAGAGAAATTCCATAGATAGTGACTGGTTGCTAAAACTTTGTGGTTTCATGAACCATTTAACTCCCTGGATCCGATTGTTAATTCTCCCCTCTAGCTGCAACACATTTCCTCGTAAATTAGTTGCAAGAATTTGGTGTTAGATCAAGACAACAACTTCTACCTGATACATTTGAGTACCTGTTTGTTGGATAGTGGATGATATGCTAGGGAGAAGTTACATGTGAATTACCTGAGGGAGTTAAAGGGTTAAGAAGGGGACGCCGGAAGCAGAATGGCTAAGGATACCAGTTGGCTTGAAGCCGTTAGGAGATTTTAATAGTATTTTTATAATTTCAAAGATTAATTAATTATTTAAATTTTTCACAACCATTTCAGTGGATGACAACTTGTTCCCCATGCACTAATTCTGAGCCTCCTTTTCACCTCAACCCTTTACTCCCAAGATCTCATTAGCAATTCTCCTTATTTTCAGCCATACAATTTCTATGATGTTACTTCGGAGAATTTGGTATTGATCAACTGATATTCCACTATTTGATATTTATCTTTATTCTCTTTACTTGTCTGTTTGACATGGTATTGATATTGTGAGGAGAAATTTTGTGTTGGTTACTAATGGGAGTGATGGTGAACGGGGAACGCAGAGGCATTCACTTCGTATATCTTTTAAGAGTTTGTTTTGAAATTTCCCAGAATTTTCTTTTATGCTAGATTTTGTTTTATTATTCATAGGTATGGTGGTTTAGATAAAGTGAGTTTTATATTTTCGTACTTATATGAATTATATTGGGTCATTTTAAATGTACCAGAAGATGCAAATAGAAATATATACGGAGCTCTGAATAGTCGTAAGTTACAAGTTTTGTAAGTAAAATATGAAAAAAAGCAGGAGCCCAGTAATGGGCTCCTGAAAAAAGACATTGTCGACCCTTTTCTCAGTCGGGGCAAAACACCAAATACGGGAGTGTGGTGCCTAGAGGAAACCGAAGTTTTTGCTTTATTTGCAAGTTCGCCCCGACGATTTCACCCCAAAATTAACAAGAACCACCCGAAGCAGGGGCGCTGAATTTCTAAAGTGGCTGCCTCACATTTTTTCAATGCTAACAAGGAAGTGATAAACGCTGTAGAAGCAAATTCAACACCGAAGAGCACAATAGATGCCAATAAGTTTGGCGAAACACTTTTTTTTGAAGCTGAGATACCGAGTGTTTATTAAATTCTGGTGAAAACTGTCTGCCTTTCTCCGTACAAGTAGTCAAAAGAATTGTAACAAAATAGGCGCAAAGTTTCCTCTATTTATTAAAAATCCTCAGAGATGTACACACTATATAAATCTTCATTTACAAGCTGGTCGAACAAGCCGAGAGCTGTGTAGTGCAGGCGTCTTAGTGGGGTGAGCTAACGTTGTAAGCTCGCGATTGTTTTTCCGGCCATTTGACCTGGAGTTAGACTAGACGGTGGGGGTAGGGAGCGGCGGAAGGGCATTCCCCTTCCCTCACCCCTCTCCTTATTAGGGACCTTAAGATCCGAGGACAGCGGATGTCTACGACGACTGTCATGACCGAGGGGGGACTGGGAAGAGGTTACCGTCGCAAGGAGCAAAAAATCCTTAAGAGACCAAGTCGAAGGCGCGGGCGGCATTGTTTACATATTTTCGATTTTTATCATAAAGTACTTCAGTCGTGGCTTCCTTTAGAGAGATTCGTAACATTTGTTGAAGTCCTAAATGTAATAACTGTCCTAAATGTAATAAAGTCCTAAATGTAATAACATTTGGTCCTAAATTTAATAAAGTCCTAAATGTAATAAAGTCCTAAATGTAATAACATTTAGTCAAAAATGTAATAAGCCTCCAATGCAATCGTTTAACTCCTTCAGTGCATTGTTGTTATGGCGGACATCCACATTGAGATGTTGGTGGCAGCTGTTATACCAAAAAAACCGCTGACCAGTATACATATCACATTATGGGCTCGCTGATATCAATCAGCGTCTTTTTACTTGCTAGACATAAGAAATATCAGCAGTTGAGGTATGGTCCTTGAAGCGGTAAATTGATCGAGTTGAAGAAAATAATTTCCAGCCCAAAGTGGGCTAGTGCTTAGCTGGAAGCTCAATAGGATGGAATCGATTGGTACGTAAACATTAAGACTTCGTAACTTTTGGACAGTGTTTGCATATACATCGAAAAAAATAAACGACCCTCTGAGGTTTATTGTACTGCAAACACAGTTGGTTTTCACTATCAGATCTCGAAATAAACAGGCCATTCTTGATTCTTATCAAAGCGAAATCTTTTGCTATACAATGAGTCCTTTAATGATTAAGCCAAGAGAGTATAAACTCTCTTGACCAAGCTTGTATGGTCATGATTACTGGATATTAGCCTCGTTCTTATTCTACTTTTTTATGGACCGAGACTTCCTCTCAGTCCATAAAAACGCAAAAAAAAAAGAACTCGGCCAATATCCAGCCATTTTGACCTCACGCTTGGTCAATAACGCATATAAATATATTTTATGCAGACCCATACAAATCTGGCAAGGGAAGACAGTACAAAAAATGCCCTTCCGAGCCCAGAATTTGTCTAACGTATAAGTCGATGGACTTCCTTTTCCTTGTAATTCGGTTCATCAAGTGTTAACTTCAGCATTGATGACAGAAGTATTTCGCCAAAATCTGTTACTTTTAAGAGTCTGAGCCAATGATATAGAGAGAGCTATTGGTCAACGTTTAATTTGCGTCCGTCAATTTGATGCCAAAAGCACATCAGTATCAGTGTAAGGTTTTGTAGCCAATGCTTCTCAACCTACGTCTTAAGCAAATAAAAAGACGCTGATTAATATCAGTGAGCCCGCAATATTCCATGAATATTGGTCAGAGGATTCTTTGGTGCAACAGCTGTCACTTTAACATCTCAATGTTAGCGCAGTTAAACGATTGCATAGGAGGCTTATTACATTTAGGACCGAACGTTATTACATTTAGGGCTTTATTACATTTAGGACCAAATGTTATTACATTTGGGACTTTATTACATTTAGGACTCTATTACATTTAGGACAGTTATTACATTTAGGACAGTTATTACATTTAGGACTTCAAAAGCATTCTTCTGCAAAGTTTTGATGATGGCGATATATCAAAGGACGAGTTCTTCTTCTTTATGACGTTAACACATCCAAAAACCCAGATTTTCTTTATGAAAGTTATGGGAAATTTGATTTTAATGATATGGATGATAGTGAGTGTTTATTCGAGTTTCGTTTGTGTAAGAGTGACCTTCCCGTCCTATCTGAGGCCCTACATCCTCCTAACTACTTTACATGTCAACAAGGAACTATATGCGATGGAATTGAAGGGTTGTGCATCGCACTTCGAAGGTTTGCGTACCCATGTAGACTCAGTGATTTAATTCCACGATTTGGCCGCCCAGTTCCAGAGCTAAGTATGATTTCCAGCCTCGTGGTGGATACAATTTATCAGGAACATAACACAGAATAACTCATTGGAATGATACACTCTTGAACCCAGGAACACAAAACGTCCAGTGTCTGTAACATTAAGTCTTAAATCAAGTTTATTTGAATCAAAAGTCTGAACATGAAGCTGATATAACATGGAAAACCTAACAATAAAATAAAAGCAAGTGTACAAAACAAAATCAAGATTGAAACATATGCCTGAAATTGCTGAAAACTACATTCATCTTGCACAGTACAAAATCAGGCCATGACTTAGTTTTGCTTTTCTGGAAGTTTTATTATAATTTGAGACTGCTGCTGCTGCATTAGCATGAACACCTTCTGAAAATTATGCATTTGTTCTTGTTGCTGTTTAGTTTGCTTCAGCATGACCTGCATCAAATCCTGATGTTGCTTTTAAGACTGCTCCTCCTTCTTGCTTTCAGCCTCTAGTCGCTGCTCCTGTGGCTGCATTTCTTCCATTTTCCATTTCTGCATGAGTTTTTTTCTCGCAAATATGCCACCGTGTCACTACCACTTCTTCGACGTTTTGCTCTTGCTGCTGTTTCATTCTCTACCTCATCTTTCCTTTGTCTTTTCTGTGTCCCGCCAAGGTTCTCTAAAGCTCTGTATCTCGTTTCCGCTGCTTTGGCACTATCGACTTTCTTTTTGTCATTTTGCGCTGTTTCTTCAACCACAGCTTCTTTTTCTACTATCCCCTCAAGTGCTTTTTCAATGTCACTCAAATCTGTATCTATTTAACTTGCCTTTTCTTCATCTCGCATCTTTGCTCTAAATTTGTCGCTCAAAAGTGTATATCGTACTCTGACAGATCGCTTCGTCACTCTGAATTGGGAATGGTGAAGGCTGTTCAGATTGTTCGCTATTTTATCCCAAATTTGGCCCCTTGCAATGCTTCCTTTCTTTGCCTTGAATGATTCAAGAACGAGAATCTCCTGACAAAGAAAATTGTCATGTTGTTTAGTCCACTCCATGTTGGTTCTAAAGATAAAAATAAAATGTTAACACTTATTTTCTTTTTGTTTGTGTTGCATGTTGTTTGTCTTTTTTTTTTTTTTTTACTGCAAGCAGAACCCTTTTTTGTTCACCAAATATGCAAGACACTTTCACAAACATAAATAATAGAGAGATTATCATTTACTAAGCGTAATTCGTGTTGAGTTTCACCACATTCATTGTTAAAAACGTGAAGAAAAGACAATAAGAGAACTTACTGAGCAATTCTCTTGGCACTCGTGTCGGCTGCAGCCATGACCTGTTTGGTGGAGAAGAAAAAAAACATGTTTTTTCTCGAAAATAAGGTCCCAGAAGAGTAGGCAAACGAATTAAAAATGTTACTGAGTCTATAATGCGCAAAATATTCGAAAATTATGAAAGATATTTTATAAAATCACTGTAATCAACGGCACGTTTTGTACGAAACGGCAAACTAGTTGTTTTGACGTCGCAGACAACACAGCTACGGCAGGAATTTACGGGGAACGGCTACCGGATGTAGGTAAACACGCATTCAAACTTCCGCCCGCCGTCGTAGACA